GCCGCCGCCGCCGCCGCTGCCGCTGCTGCTCGGGCTGCTGCTGGCGGCCGCGGGGCCCGGCGCGGCGCGGGCCAAGGAGACGGCGTTTGTGGAGGTGGTGCTCTTCGAGTCGAGCCCGAGCGGCGACTACACCACCTACACCACCGGCCTCACGGGCCGCTTCTCGCGGGCCGGGGCCACGCTCAGCGCGGAGGGCGAGATCGTGCAGGTAGCTGCCCGCCGCCCGGGCCCCGCGCCGCCGCCGCCACAAGATGGCTCCGGGGGCTGCGCCCGCCGACCCCGCCGCGGGCTGGCGGGCGGGCGGGCGGGCGGGCGGACGGGAGGGGCGGCGAGGAGGCCGGCGGCATCCCTCCCCGGCCGGCAGGCGGGACGTGGCCTCTAGCGCGCCGCAGCGGGGGGCGAGTGCACGTGGGGGCTCGGCCTCCTGTGGGTCCCGAGGGCGGGAGGGGGACCCGGGTCCGGATACCCACGTTGGGGCGGCCCTCTTGGGCCGGTTGGACATTTCGGTTTGCCTCAGGTGGGAGTCCTGGAACTACCTGTTGAATGCCAACTTTGGAAAGATGAGTGATGAAGGATGGGGTGGCTTGTTTCAGGTCACAGGCTTTGCTTTCCATCCCTGCATGTTCTTTTTGAGATTAGCCAGGTTTGTCTGCGGCTGTACAGCATTAGGTTCTTTCCTGGAACCTGCCGCCAGCTTCACCTGGGCGCTGACCCCCCTGCGGGCCTCTGGACAAGCAGTAGCAGGCAAGGAAGCAGGGGGAGCTGGCGGAGGAGTGGGGATCGCGAGTGCCCTGGAGTGGCCCGTAGAAGGCAGCCTTCGCTGCGTGCCTCAGATTACAGAGGGTGGGAGGGAGACTGCCTGCCCGCTCCTGGGCCAAGGACTTCTACGGAGGGCCTGGAAATCCTGGAAATCGGGAGACAGGGTCGCTCACTGACAGGGCCTCCCCACCTTGCTCCCAGTGAGAGAGGTCTGCATTCCAAAGGGAGCTGGCGAAGGAGAGCTTTTATAAGCCGTGCCTACACTTTGGAGGAGGGACTGAGCTGAAGTCTCTGCGGTTGCTGAGCTGGGTAGATGCCTTCCCGCTTCCTTGGCTATGATTTTATCAACTTGTTAGTAGACTGCCAGCGCACTTACGGCGGTTAATATGCATGCCTCGGATGCGGGCGATGAAACGGTTGGCTTGATTTGGAGCCCTTTTGGAGGTGATGGGATGGCTGCAGGGCTCTAAGCTTGGGGCCTTGTGTGCTTTACTTTGGATGAGTTATGAATGAAGAGAAGGGAACTGTATGGATGATTGCATAGCAGCCTCTTCCTTTCCTCTCCCGTGGTGCATGCTCAAAGCCCTGCGTGGATAGGACAGGGAGCTGTGCAGCTTGGCTCCTTAGAGGTGTGTCCTTACAAAGCTGGGGGAGGCACCCTGCCAGGCGATTAATCAGCAGCATTGCCTCACAGAACTCTTATCCCCATCTTTTTTTTTTTTTTTTTAAGATTTTATTTATTTATTTGACAGAGACACAGCGAGAGAGGGAACACAAGCAGGGGGAGTGGGAGAGGGAGAAGCAGGCTTCCCCGCGGAGCAGGGAGCCTGATGCGGGCTCGATCCCAGGATCCTGGGATCATGACCTGAGCTGAAGGCAGACGCTTAACGACTGAGCCACCCAGGCGCCCCAACTCTTATCCGCATCTTAAACTTCTGCAGGGTAAATAGAAGGGGAAACACATGTTTGAGTCCTGTGACTACATATGTTAAAGGCTTTTGGACTTTTTTCCTTGCTCATGTTATAATTATGGTCTTTAATTTGTAAGCTTTAGAGAAGATGGTCTGCTGAAGATTCCTACACATTTTAGTGGCAGCCTTCAAGAATAGTTTGAATCTTAAAGCTTGCTCCTTGTGACTCCTTGTTTCTCTTTGAGGCTTTCACTGTGCCCTGATGGCTTTAGAAATGTTTGACTTACAGACTTCTAAGAGAAAAGATGTTTTAACATGGCACCTCACTTTTTGAAGGAGACTTTTGAAGTTTGCGATTTTTATCTGCAGTGTTTTAAACTTGGACTCTTTGTCCACACTAGTTTGTCTGGCGGGCTGTCCATTATGGGTAGTGCTGGGCTTTGGAGATAATCTTGGGTTCACCATTTAATACAAAATTAGCAGTTTAAGCACACCATTTGTAGCTGTTTTATCCTTGTGAGTAGAGTGAGAATGTATGAATTTGGCAGAAGGAATCTATTCTCTTTTGAATCTTTTTGAAGTGCTTATCTAACTCTTTTGAAGTCCATTAGCCTAGTGCCCCCCCAATTAAGTCAACAGTTGTTAAGTAAAGAAAAATGACTTAAATGGTATTTAATAAGTTGATTTGTTAAGCAATCACTAATAGGTGTCCTTAATTCCTTTATAACTGCACAGTGTGTTGGTGAGTTTATCTGAGCTGTCTGAATAGTCATTTCTTGGTGTTCTCCATATCTTTAATAACTTTGTTGTGGGGGCCTACTTGCTGAACCTCTCAAGTGCAGAGATGGAGCTCCGCATGGCTCTCAGGGCTGTGTGTGTACAGAGGCTGGCATGCTTTTATTAGTTCTTCCAATACTGCCTGATTGCAGTAACTGGCGTGGCCCCTGTCAGCCCTGAAAGATGTTTTTGTAAGGGAAGCTGGTGTTTCAGGACCGCTTAGAGGGGGTGTAACGTTTTGTATGAAAAATGAGAAGGTAGAAGAAACAAATTGGTGTTCAGCTTCAGTTTAATCATGTTTTCGAAGTGCCTTGTTGAACTTTTCAAACCTTCTATTTACTATCTTAAAATAACTGTGTGTGATTTGCTATTTAGTATTTTATGGTCTTCAGAGCAGAATTCATTTTCCTGTAACTAAACCTAAACAGTGGCACTGAAGCATTGTTTATTTTCACTGGGGTTCGATAGTACTGTTGTTCATGGTTAAGGGGAGAAAAAGACCTGTTCGGGAGTCTAAGAGTTCTAAGATAGGAAATTGGTTTGTATTACTGTTTTTCCTCCCTCCCTATTATGTACAATGACAGGAGATACCTTATCATAGTCTGGTTTGCCCCAGATACTTCTAATTAGGGTACCTGTTTGTCATTTGCATGGATTAGGGGAAGGGGGGACCTGGTTAAGAGTGTGTGTGTGTGTGTGTGTATTTGTGTGTGTGTCAGTGTCAGAGAGAGATAGTAATTCAAACCTTGGGATTAGTCACCAGGATTCTTGGTTCTCTTCTTGTGCATTTTAGGCTTAAATAACTTTCTCAAGGTCACCAGTGTGCTCTGTTAAGAGAGATTTTTTTTTTCTTTTTTGACATCTTCATCTGTGGAAATAGTGAAAACAGTGTGTGGATACGAAATGCTATTAATTAATTATATTATTTATTCATACAGCACTGAAGTCCATTTGCTCATAGAGTGTCAGGCATGCAGTGTGAATGCTGGAGGAATTAGAGTTCTGTCATTCTGAAGTGTGGAACTTTAAAGAGTTCTTAGACGTATTGATACATATTTCATCTTTGAACCAATTTGTTGCTATTATGAGATCATTATCTGAAACTTTCAGACTTGGCTGCACAACTCACATGGTTAGTGATGTTAAATAAAGGCCTGATTAAGCACTGGCTAGTGGTATGTGGATTGGTTAAACAAACAAAGAAAATTTGCATCGCTAGAGATGAAAGATGGTTTTAAAGTGGAAAAGCATTTTTTCCCCCCTTGAAGTCAAATATTTAGAAACGCTTGAGAAATTCATTTGTAGAAGGACTCTGAATGATAGGTTTTGTGTAGCTCTAAAATTGGCCTTTCTGTATCCTGGGTTAAGTGTTGAATGGTCTTGAAAGCAGAGGAAAGTTGAGAATATTTAAGAACTAAGCCAGCGCCTTTAGCTATGAGGGGTTGGGGGAAGCTGGGTAGTGGGTTAGAAGGGCTATCCAATATTAACTAAGGGCATCACAGAGAATAATTTTAGGAAACTAATTTTTCTGCCTTGTTTCCTTGTCAGTGTGTTTCTGCAGTTCGGTATGTGATCAAACCCTTTTCTTTTCATCTCCATTTTAAGTTAAGAGGCCTGCCTCTAAAAATTGACTTTGCCTCATAAAACAATTGTGTGTTGGCAGGTGATCTGGATTTACACAGAAAGAGATTGCTGACTGTCTTGTCAAAAGGGCCTTCATAGGTTAAAACCAAGCATTTGATTTTGGGGAAAACATTAGGGCTGTGTTTTGTGACCTTATGAATTCTTAGGGGCTCTTATTTTCTGCCTTGTTCTCTAAGATCCCATGGGAGCTGCTAATGCAGCGCTGAGTGGAGGTGCAGATGGGAGTGGGAGGTTTAAGTGTGGAATCTGCAGACCAGAGGGAAGGTGGTGATGGCCTCCATTTATTGTGGACAGGGCACTATGCCAAGCACATCATGTCTTTACTCATCGCCTCCTGACTTCAACATGGAATTAGCAACTACTGTTAACCCATTTTACAGATGAGGAAACTGAGACCGAGAAAGGCGATTTGATTTACCCCAACCCTCACCCAGCTAGCAGATGATAAAACCTGGATCGAAACCCAGGTCTGTCTGGCCCCTTTGCTTCTGTTTTTGCCAAATACGTAGAACTTGGCTGGTTAGGTTTGGGCATTAATTTGAGTCTAATTTCTAGCAATCTAGTATAGGGGTTCTTTTTTTTTTTTTAAGATTTTATTTATTTATTTGAGAGACAGAGAGAGAGTGAGAGAGAGCATGAGAGGAGAGAGGGTCAGAGGGAGAAGCAGATTCTCCACTGAGCAGGGAGCCCGACGTGGGACTCGATTCTGGGACTCCGGGATCTCGACCTGAGCCGAAGGCAGTCGCTTAAGCAACTGAGCCACCCAGGCGCCCCTAGTATAGGGGTTCTTAACCTCAAGGTCACAGACTTCTAGGGAGGGCCTGTGAACCCTTGAAATTATATACACGGTTATATACACAATGCATTTGTGGATGTACTCTTCTCTTTTCCTGAGAAGATACAGTTTTTCCTCTTTTGGGGTTCTGTGCTGCCTCTTCTCCCCAAGAGGAAAAAGAGAAGCACTGATCTAATACCCATCATCAAAGAGTCCATTCCTAAGAATTTGGAGTGATGTGGGGCTCAGGCTGGCAAGAGTCGTAGAGAAGTCTACAGGTCTGTGTGTCTCCATCGGGCATATTCATCTGATAAATGTTTATTAAAACCCTATTTTCAGACA